TAATTCGAAGAAAAAATAAAGTGTTACTGTTTGTTATTTGTAGAAGGTTTAAGAGGAAAGACCACAACATAATGAACTAATTCATCACAATACCTGAAAATTCTGACTTCACTTTTTTGAAAAGTGAAATGGTATTTACTTTTACTCCCAATCAACAATCAAATATATTTTATTGAATTATGAATAACATGAATGGATTGAAATATTTAATTAAGGTATCTCAAAACAAACCTTTATTTCGGTGCAAGATTGAAATTAGCTTGAATTCTTCATAACCTCTGAATAGTGGGTGACCCAATGGGTCACTGGTTGTCTAGTATATTATATATTTAAACAATAATGTGATTACTTAATATTCGTAGATTAACTTATAATTATTACGAACAAATAATTACCACACCATTAAATAATATCCAATGAAGTTTGGTTCCAACATTAAAAACTATATATTGCGATTTATTCTATTGAAGGAAAAGCGTCTTGAGATGTTTGATGTTTTATTTGTTGTGTTTACGTTAAAATGATCAAAGATTAATACAGTGAGTTTTTTAATATGACAAAATTTGTGAAGGCAGGCTATTTAATATATGATATCACAATATACGATACGACTCAAGTGTACATTCTGAATAATAGTACCAAGCGAAAGTTTTATTTTTATGGGGGGGGGGGGGGTAAACACAAAGCTACACTATGGATTACCTGTGCTGTGCCCACTGTGGAAATAGAAACCCGAATTTTAGCGTTATAAGCCCCAGAATTACCATTGAGCCCCTGGTTGGGATGAGTGTGAGCGTAAGCCTAACAACTAGTAAAATTTAAAGTACAGCTGAAATTTATTAGCGATCCTAGATTGTATGCGCCTGACTCTTACCATTATATCAGTTAGTGAACAAAACTAACTAAATAAATATAAGAAGTGCGAGAGATGGCCTAAAAGTTTTTTTACCAGTACAACAGTTAATGAACAAAAGTAACTAAATAAACATAACAAATGCGAGAGATGGCCTAGAAGTTTTTTACCAGTACAGCAGTTAGTGAACAAAACTAACTAAATAAATATAAGAAGTGCGAGAGATGGCCTAGAAGTTTTTTACCAGTACAGAAGTTAATGAACAAAAGTAACTAAATAAATATAATAAATTCGAGAGATGGCCTAGAAGTTTTTTACCAGTACAGAAGTTAATGAACAAAAGTAACTAAATAAATATAATAAATTCGAGAGATGGCCTACAATGTGTTTTAAGGACATTCTCTGTCATATCTTATATGAACAATAAACACATCAGGTTTACACTCGTATTTTATAATCAGAACCAGGTGCGGTTTAGTGGTTAGAGTGCTTTGACTGTGAATAGGAGGGTTCGTGGTTTGCAGGCGCTGCAGCAAAATTGCGCTCCGCACTTTGGGACTGGGGTGTGTTATAAGAGTGACGATCAAATTATTCTGATTGGGCAGAAAAAAGTAGGCCAAATGTTTACAGTGGACTAGCTGCTTTTAATCTAGTCTAGCAATTTAAAAGTTGGATCGGTTATGTGTGTAACTTTGCGCGAAAATTCTGAACAAACAAATACATTTTTAGCTAATCTGTGTGATGCGTTTGATATATATATATATATTTAGTTCACAGGTGTTATACATAGATCTGTGAAACATACAGACCTACTTTTAGATAATTGTAGTAAAAAAATGAATCTGTTTAAAGGTAATCGATCTTTAATGTGATATTGATTAATATGGATCGGCCTATTTTAATCCTATTTCAATCTTCATGATGCATGTATATTTATAATGGAACATGATATTAATAAACAGGTGTTCTTTTTTCTTTTAAAGACTTAAAACTGAAGAGTTAGTAGGTTTAACTACATAAGTAAATAGTAAATATTATTCAGGGTTTTTGGATAAAAAATATTAGGAATATAAAGCAGAAATAAAATCTGTAGCTATCAGAATTAATCATTGGTAGTAGAATTTCTTTGTTCAAAGTATAAAATATTTAAAACAACAGTTCTATTTTTATTTATAAAGTTAAATTTTTCTCCCAAATAAGCATGATTATTTACATAATAAAATTGCACACAAGAATGCTAATGTACGAAACATCTCGTTCAAGACACTAGCTTCAAAATTTAACCATGGCATTAATGGTACAGATGTAATTCTACCTACACCAAGAAATGCCTGATATACAGTGATGAGGCAACAGAGCAAAAACTATCAACATAAAACCAAGCTCACATCTCTACCTGGCCGGGAACCATACAGGGGTTGACCAAGTGGATAGTGGGCGGTCGACTGTGACTGGGAGGATGACCTTTGGGTTCCTTCTTCGCTGGACACCGTGTCCAGGGCAGGTGGTGTGCCCATTTCTTTCAGTTGGATTGTGTCCTGCAGCAGTTTGCCTGAAGGCCCGTGAGACACTCCTGTGGATGAAAGTGTTCAGTACAGTCGCTATTGATATGTAGTGAACAAATAAAAATACCACTCTTACCCCAATTTGATCGTTATGATGGTTCAGCAATATGCGTTGACACAAGTCCGGTAGTTTTCTCTCAATAGTTTCGTAAGTAGAGAACAAAATATCTGTTCCTTTTACATGAATTTAAACACGCGTAAGTTTGTTTCTCGTACAAAATTAGTATGCTTGATATGGTTAAGGTGTTTAGTTTTCTGTTTAGGCCTAAATGTAACATGAAGAGGAAAGTAGATCACAGAACAGAAGCAAATTGTGTTAATTTTAGTATCAAAAGAAAAAAAAAACACAACGTAAAAGCTTTTCCGATGGTATTTTAATGGAACTAATTAAATAAAAGAGCCAAAAATATAAAACTTCTATAAAAAAAAAAAAGACGGACAAACAGAACACTAGGGCAAAACTAGTGGAAAGAGTAAAATGTACCTTAGTATGAGAGATATTTACTAAGAAGAACCCACACAGCGATGGGGATACACTGTATATCATTTAACTTCTACTGGTAAGCCTCACATGTGGAAGAAATAAAAAGTATATTATACGAAGAGGTAGGTACTTAAGCCCATAAAGTCCCACATTTAAATTAACCACTCAACGTCTGCCACCGACTGTGAGAAGGTAGTTTTTACTCATGAAACACAATCATTATAATATAATTTCAACTGAAATAATTGGGCATATAAACAAAACTTATCTCTCTCAAAGTTGGCATTCCAATTTCATTATTATTACATACCAATATGAACAGTACAATAAAACCTGAAATCCTTAGATTAAAAATTACTTTTACTAAGTACACACATAAAATATATATATAATTTTGAAAATAATTATGGAAACAGCGAATAAAATGTGAATATTATAGAGACTTTCTCTTCTTTTGTATGGAAATAAACTGTACAGAGTACAGTCGTGTTTTATCAGTTTACATTGTGATTGGCTGTCATCCAACCAGTCATACAGTGCCATACCAGCTTAATACATATAAAATTACAGGCAGTCATATTATTCCCAGCTCTAGTGTGATCTGTCAGGTAAGGGTTCATCATCCAACAAGACAGAGACCTCAATCATGATGCAAATGTGGTGAAAAATGCCTGGAAAGGAAGAAGAGCGTAGGTGTTGATCACCTTTTTAACCTTCTAACTTTTTACATAAGTCCATAAATCCTCAAGAACATTCGCATCATCATATTTATTTTGTTGTATACTTGGGATCATTGTCTTGCTGGAAGATGAATCCCCCTCCCCACACACACAGTGAGTTGTGTTTCTAAAGGGAATGACATGATGAATCAGGTTTTGCCTGCAGTCAGGGTGCCATCAGTTTAGTGTAGATCACCAGCAACAATGATGTAGGACCGACAGGTGGTCCGAGAGGTCTTTTACCCCGCCAAGTGGTCTGCGGACGAAAAGTTTGAGAACCACTGATCTAGCGCTTTGTATTTTTCCATAAAAGAACACTTGAAGGTCAAAGAAATGGAATATTGGTTATCGTAATCCAATTCTTGTTATGAAATTTATTATAATTGATTTTCATGTCTCTAGTAAATTTTTACGTTTTTACTAGAAAATTCATAATTTCTAGGTATTCGTACAATACGCATGGCACTAAGAAATAGAAGTTGTAGTTGTTTTATTAGGTAAGGAAAACGTTTTATTACAACCCTAGTTGACTTTATGAGAATTTATCTGAGGGTTCGCCACGTGCTAAAAGTTTTGAGAGTTTACTGATAAAGGCTTTCACTGCAACTCAAACTTTTCATACCAATATAGTTAAAATAAATCTGGAACACATGACGGAAAAAAAAATATACTTTCTCTCCTTACATTTTTCCATATATTGTGCTGCGTATCCTGTGTAAGTTGGTGTAAAAAATCTGATGGTCTACACTACACGTTGTATTAAACGATTTTTTTAACTTTATTTCCAGAATTAAAATGAAAAAGATAACTGACATTCCTCTCTAAACTAACTAACCTTCAGTTCTGTTGTTTCTGGTCTGTCGTTCTCTGAAACATAAGACACACCCGACAATGATGACCACAAGAATAACGAAGCTGGACACGATGATGGGAATCATTATTTCCAGATTCGTAACAAAAGATGGCGACTTTGGTCCAAGAGCTGTTTCTTCGTTGCGAATAACCACTTCTAAAAAATGTATAAAGTTGTTTGGATTATGTTATCTTTGTTTTCTTAAACTTGCAGTAATTCAGATCGTGTCTTTTATGTTGAGATGAAAGGATAAAAAGCTGTACAGAGTAGAAAGGTGCCAGAAGTGATACATGTTTACTATTGCCTTTTTACTCCAGATATAAATTCCAGCCTGTTAATTTGAGCATTTTTTTACAGATAGGACCTTATCATGATAATTTTATTTTTCTACAGACTAGTTTAGTTACTATTTACAATAAGAATATAAAAAACTTTTTTCATCATGATGTTGCATAAAAGTAACTTCTTGATTATGAAGTTTTACTTTGTTTTTAGACTCCACTCTGCTGATGTTTTTACTTTAACATGTCAGCATGACGTCAAACACATTGTGATATTGTACACATTTTTTTCTTCTGGGCAACGATGTTTTATCTCTTGATATTTGATATAAGAAGACACATCTCACATTCTCATAAGATATTGAGATTTGCTTTTATTTAAAGTATCATTTTCAATTACTTTCATTTACTAACATATACTTTAACGGAAAGACACACATTTAAAAGTAGTGCTTTCTATCATACGTCCAGATTTAGCCAAATAGTTACTGTTACAGTTTCAGTTGTTTATTGGTATCGTAAACCTAGTTGGTTTCAAGTTTTTAATATTCAGCATTTACTTTTTTCATTAGTTGTACGTACACGTATTTTCACACATAACTAGTGCCCTTGTTAAAATAAATATCCTTACGTTCAAACAAACCTACCAAATTTCTGACAATTAAATATTCACGCACTAGGACCTGACTTCCCTATGTTAAATATCTCGCGACCCAACTAATATGTTCAAAATATTTACCTCGAGTAAGGTTAAGAGTTTTGAAGTCGTACAAAGCATCAGTCGCCCCTGCAGAACTACGTGCTGTTACCAGTATTTCATACCACGTAGATGGAATTAGATGGGAAATGAGGAACTTAGATTTATTTGCCGGAAGTTCTTCACTTATTGTTCGCCACTTGGTGTGAAATTTTTCCCTTATTTGGATAGCGAAGGAAAATATTGGACATCCGCCATTTTGCCATTTGGACAGATGCAGAACAACCTCCGTTTGTTGAACATTGAGAAAATCCTCTTGAGCAGGAAGCAATGGTGCTGAAGTAAACGACAAGAGTGCGTTATCAGTATTGTAGCAATGCAAATATTGGGTGACCCACAGAAAAAAATAATGAAAAAACTGCATTGAAAGTGGTATTAAAGAAAAGAGGTAAACTTGGTAGCTCAGCAGTAAATTTGAGAACTTATAAAAATCGGGTTTCGATATCCACGGTGGGCACAGCACAGAAAGTCCATTGTTTAATTTTGTGGCTTATGACAAACAAACTCTCCAATATAAATAACAATTTCTTAAATTATTCTCATAAACGTGTTTCTTTTTTTACACCAAAAATGTTAGAAAATTAAATAACCAGCATAAATGATTTACGCGCACCTCAGATGGATCTTACAGAATAAATACGAAATGATCTATGGATGTTGCTGCAACGTTTTTCTTCTAGAGATATAGATTACTCTTGTTCAGAATTTTGAGGATAGTGACTAGAGGAAAGGGAGCTAGTGAATGGTGCCAACTGTCAACTCTTAAGCTACTCTTTACCAATGAATATTCGAATTTACCATCACATTATAACGTCCTTGAGAATGAAAGGGCAAGCAAGTTCGGCGATGATTTTCGATCCCGTGACCCGCAGATTACGAATCCAGTGCCCTTGCCACTACGCTTTCATTAAACGAAATACATTTTAAGCTCAGTAACAAAAATAAATTTTCCCAAGAATATCTTTTATCTACAACTAAATGTTGAATTCCTGTCAGTTGCACGAGTTCAGGTTTGAATAAAAGCATTTAAATTGAATAGTGCTATACAGTCTTCCAGTGGCTAACAACCATAATAAGCTGATAAAATGGACGAGGGAATTAACTGGCTACTTATGTAGGATTTTTGTACGGTTTTATGTATTCATCCCTACCTTGTTTCTGTACTTTTTGGCTTTGCCATCTCTACATCATACTTAATTTTTGCATTATTTCATTACTTACATGAACATTTTGGATTATAACAGCCTTAATGAAAGCTTCTTTTCTAATATCGTGAATGTTTTGCGTCTATCAAAAGCCACCGGTGGTTAAAAATATCTAATATAGTTATAAATATATTAACATCGATAATAATTCAATATGACATATAGTGTATTTAAATAATCTTACCTGCGCCGGCAGTCCTAACAGTAATAATATTACTCGGTTCACTTTTCCCTACGCTATTGTGGGCAGTGAAGAAGAAGTGATAGGTGGTGCCACATGTCAGATTGGGTACTGTGTACCTTGTGTCGTGTGTCTTGATTGGAATCTCTTTCCAAGGTTCTTTGTTTTGCCGAGAATGAAGAACATAATCTGCGAGGAAACATTTCAAAAATCTCAGTAAATTACAAGTATTCAAACCGCATTTCTCTAAGTTACACAGTAAATTACAAGTATTCAAACCGTATTTCTCTTATTTACACAGTAAATTACAAGTATTCAAACCGCATTTCTCTAAGTTACACAGTAAATTACAAGTATTCAAACCGCATTTCTCTAATTTACACAGTAAATTACAAGTATTCAAACCGTATTTCTCTAAGTTACACAGTAAATTACAAGTATTCAAACCGTATTTCTCTAATTTACAGAATAAAAGTCCTTGAAATTGTCTGGATATAAGGTTACCTTTTGTAGAAAAAACCATCATTAAGTCCTTGAAGTTCAAACAGTAACCTATGAAGGCTAAATTATATAAAAAAACTACTTTAAAACGAATATGTATAAGTGGTCTTGGGATTTCAAATTAGTGAAAAAATTGTTATCATATTTTCTGAAAATCTTTGTGCAACATTTAGATTGTTTTCTACGGAAAATATTGTGATATTAGCAACAACATATATTATAGCTTACCTGTGACAGCCTTGCCAAAAGTTGCTTTCTGTGACCAACCAATTGTAACGGACGATGCTGTAACTGAAAGCGCCTTAACATCCGGGGCACTAGGCGGTACTACGGAAACATGATAAACAAAGCTTTATTCACAAAATAATATATCATCGTTACTGCTGGATATATATATCAATCGTAGCTTCAGTGAAGGTATTCTAAAACATAATAATCACATTTTTATATAAAAGTAGCCATTCTCTGAGATGGCGATAAAATTATTTCACTACCCTTTTAGCAGGTGGTATGTGCTGTAAAAACTGATTTTACTGATTTAAGTAAGGTAGTACAGATTTAAAAACCACACAAAGTAGTTACGTAGTGAAGTACTTCTGTAAATAACTTTCGTCCATCAGTTAAGCAGTCTAAATCTCTACAATAATCAGGACCACCCTTTATTCTCCCGAAGAAGAATAGTAAACTACTTGAGTTTTGGGTCTCGTTTTGAAAATATTACAACTTTTGTAGGTGATCCTGTGTATTAACTACTTAACCAGGATATATAACCATTAAACTAAGCTATTTCTTCCTAGAAAACCACAAATAAGCCGATAGATTATTTATATCTGAATTTTTTTACAGAGAGAAAAGCATTCTATTACCAAATTATATAAGAATGATTATTATTCGTCGATGTTTAAGGAAAATTTATAGATTCATTTCCTATTTGGTACCCCCAGTGGCACAGCGCTAAATCTTAAGGCTTATAACAAAAAAAAACAAAAAAAAACGGGTTTCGATACCCGTGATGGGCAGAGCACAGATAGCCCATTGTGTAGCTTTGTGTTTAACTTCAAACAAACAAACATTTCCTCAAGCATGTTTAATACTCCCAGTAAACCTTTGAGAAATAATTATTAAAATTGTGTAATTCAGACTTTACAGAATAAGAAAACAGACTGAGCGAAGTCAGCGAAAATTCATTTGCTGGTGCTGCCAAACTGTATTGTAATTTTTGCTGTAATAAGGCTTTTGAAGTAATTTTCATTTCGTAAAAATATACCCGATAAAACTGTATGTATATTACTGATCTCATGAAAAAATTCCAAATGTTGAATTAGACCAACATAAAGGATCCTGTGCAGCAATGTGATTTATTCCCAATATTACCCAATACTTTCATGCTTACATTTGCTTAAACACAGAAATTTCACCGCCTACAAATGTTACTAACTGGTTTCATGATTTTTCTTTTTGGAATGTTATTTGTCTTCTGGTGGGTCAGCGGTAAGTTTACGGACTTACCATGTCAAAACTCCGGAGTTCAATTCCCCACAATGGACACAACAAAAAGTCCAATGTGGCTTTGCGCTAAAACACACATACACACAATGGTATTTATAGTCGATTGGTTTAATAAGTCTAGATGATGGTTATCTAAATAATGAATGCATTTACCGGACGCAGTTTTTTTTGGAATTGGATAGATTTTACTTCCTTTTACCTCAGTAGAATAAAAATTACATTAAGCTACGAATAACGAAGATAATGTATTAAGTCGTGCATTCGCTTCTCATTACAGGCAGGAACTGACGAGTTAATTGTGTTTTTTTAACACAGCGTTTTTTTCTTCTTCTTTTGGTTTAACTTAGACGCTAAAGTTCACGTAAACTTTATTCCGTTATAATTAATACCAGCGTGATAAATCAACTGCTCTAATTCTATCAAAGAACTGTGAAGCCACCGCTAGTTCTAATTTGCACGATTAAGAATCGTCTCTAATTTTATAACGCTAATTCACGAACTTGAACTAATCCTGTCATAGTAGATTAGAGGCATTATTAATCCTGTCACAGTAGATTAAGGACATTACTAATCCTCCAGAGCATTCATAGTTAGTGTAGTGAAAGTTCTAACGAATCGTGTTACAGATTGTAAGCAGTTACTCTGTGCTGCACAAAAAAAAAGAAAAAGAAATATTTTCGAATTTTTCAACTTTAATGTATTTAACTGATGATTTATTTACGGTTATATTAGTGAGTTGTTCAACAAACTGGCTACCTCAAAATCTTCAATTCTGATGTCCCTTGGGGAACAAATTATAGTAATATTATGGTAATAGTGCAACATTCAAAATGTGTTAAAAAGAAACTGTTTTTTATCCTGGTTTATCCATGAATATAAATTCAATTTATATATTTAAATTCATTCTGTAGTAAGTAACTTACTTCATTGTAAGAGTGTTATTGAAAGGAATAAGCAGTTGCTTGCATCTTTAAATTCGCATATCCTTTCTCTGCGAAGGAATATGTAGGCTCCACCGCTGGGTAATTTTCTGCCCATATATATATAAGAACAAACTTACAGCAAACCTAAGAACGTCACGTCATATTTGAACAACGCGTAATGCCACTATCGCAACTGATAATTATGTGATAATTAGTGAAGATGTGAAAGAGCAGCGGCTTAGGATTCGAAAAAAGTTGTATCATCACTAAATTGAAGATGATTTCCGTTTCTCCTCAAACAGTGAACACGTTCTAATTTTTTAATATCATTGGTTTGCTTACATGTATTAGTTAATACCCCCAAAATATATAAAAGTTTCTGTTTAGTTCTTCCAGACGTTAATGCCAATATTAATCTTACCCAGACACTAGGGAACTTTTATAAGAAGATATGCAGCTACCTAATCCTATGATGATAACTAAGAAGATACGTTACCACTAATTCTACGATGAAATAGGGAACTACCACTACCACAGATATCAAGAAGTTACCGAAATTCTAAAAACGATTGATTATTAGAATATGTATCACAACAAAAGGAAGATAATACTGTAAACTTACCAGATAATCTTATTCCTGTCTTATCACAGAAATCAAGAATTTTTACCACTAATCTCACCAGAGTAACTCAAAGTGACCCTAATAATATCAAAGCAAACTAAAGTTATACGACTAATCCTACCACATATAAGACATAATAATCATTCTACAATAATATTTGCTTACCATCCTCCAAGGTTTTGACCTCTACTTCGTCTGAGCGAGGTCCAACACCTTTGGTATTAAATGCCTGAACGGACACAAGGTAGAGTGTCGACCTTTGGAGATTGGTCAAGTGGACCTCTTCTTGCGTATGTAGGTCGTCGATGTCTATTTTCTTGTACAAATATAACTTGTCATTTCTTGCTAGTCGGTAACCAATGTAATAACCTCGGATTTTCCCATTCCAATCTTTTTGTTTCGGTGGCTGCGGGAAAATAAAAGTGATAGAAAGCGATTACTATAATTCTAGATACATGTTTCAGTCGTGTTTTCTTGAAATAAATATTTAAAGGCAGTATTTTACACTGTATGACACACAGCTTCATGCAGCAGATCATCCACTCGTATGTGTTTAATTTTGATATATACTTTTTATTCTATAATTTAATAAGAAAAAATGAAATCATTGCTATTTTCTCGGAGTTCTTCTTATGCTATTATTTTCAACTTAAAACTATTATATGTAACATAGAGAATATGGAAAGCAAAATGTTGTACTATTTAATAAAGTTTTGCAAGTAAATATCTTTCTTATATAGATTTGAATAATAATCATAAATACTGTTTTCAATTATCAGTAAAATAAAAGGTATCTACTGAACTATGATTTAAAAAGTATTAAACACATTTACCTTCCATGACACCTTCACAGAGTTTGGGCCTGTTGCTCGAATTTCTACATCTTCTGGCGGGCCACTTGGAGCTAAAATATTAAAATTATACATTGAAGAATAGCGTGGTAGTAAAGGAAACCTCATGCTTAAAGTTATTTGATCTCTAAACTACTTGTTCTAGTGGTGAAAACCTTACAAGAAGCACATTGAAAATCCGAAGTTTCATTAATGAAAGTTTGAACAGGGTGTCTCATACCAAATTATAATCGCAAATTAGAATTCCTTTTATTTCTCACATTTCTGTTTTCAACAATACGAGTTAGTGATTTGAATAAAATCAGTGAGCAGGATATTATTAGGATGAATGAACATTTTCTGGAACAGTTGGTGTCTCATTTAGGGAACTATTTGATATGTTGATTAGGAATGCATACTGAACAACTTCTGCAATTGTTTTTAAGACGAACTTGTACCAAGCTAACTTTTCCAAATAAAACCTTTGGTTCTCAGTACGCATGTGGTAACATTTAATTCTCTTAAGACAAGTTCATTTTAAAATATAAGCATTTTAAGTATAACCGCCTTGGATTTTATAAGTATAAAATGTGGGTTCTGTTATATAAGAAACTTTACTATTATATTTAAAATCTAAAAAAAGAATACATATAATCTTGCGCATTCGACTTCAGAATAATATAATTATTTTGTTGCCTGTGATATTTCGCTTTCTGTAATTTAATGTATTTAAACTGCTAAAATATTCAGAATACAGTTTAGGCTTAAAAAAGTTATGTTAACCCTGTACAAGTGTTTCTCTTATTTTAATTCTTGTCACAAATGGAATGTTACTGGTGTTAAACTCAATTGTTGATGCAAGAGCATATTATGTGACTGTGATAATAATTTCAACGAAAAAAAATAAATCTACAATTGTTATTACTACCTTCTTCAGCTGTCACGAATTCGACAAACGTACTACTGTTACTCCAGCCAACGCCATTTTGTGCTACTACATACGCTCGGTAGAGTGCAGCAGGGTCGAGTCCTTGGATAATAGTTGACGTTAAAGCTCCGTCAGTTGTAACGTTTAGTTTATGACTATCTCCTCCTAACATGATAAAATGATGGAAACATTATCCTCATTCTTCAGGATACAAATGGTGAAGTTTATTAGGTTCAAGAAGAGCATTGATTCAAATATAATATAAAATAAAAACAAATCAGTAATATTTCAGTCATTCTTGTTTTTAGGATAAAATAAGCGATTTTTTGATAAAAACCAATTAACGTTTTTGCTTTGAGTTAGGTCATTACACTATTCTTTATGATAAGTTGAAAATAAACGAGATATTTTAGGTGGATTTAAAGAGTAAGTCCTTGTATTTACGTTTTCAAAATTAGAAAAAAATTCACTTACTTATATTGCTGTTCATAAGTTACTTGTAACACGAACTATGAATGAATTTGGAAAATATTTTTTACAAATATGATTTCGAAACTAATAGTTAAGTGGTATGTGAGAAAAAAGAAACGCTTCTAATGACATGAAAATCCATATAAGCCTAAAACATTAAACGTAGTACATTCTGAACATGGTAATTCTAATATTAAATCGTTAGAAATAACAATCTAATAATGGGATTATAACTAAACTTTAACAGAGCAGTTTATTGTTTTTTTATCTAATATCAGCGAAATATTTTTAATAATTTTCTAGTCTAAGAGAAATAAGTAATAAATTTTGATACAAATAGATTTTATAACTTACTGTCGAGGACTCTGTAGTATACAACCAGATACCGCGAGATGGCGCTGTTTCCGTTATATGGCGTAGACCAAGAAAGTGAAGCAGTCCTTTCTGTAGTGTTGGTCACTGTGATATTGACAGGAGGACCCGGCGCCTCTAGCAAAATACTATATTGACTGTCACTGTAGCCAAGAATAACAAAACGCTGATATTTTATCATTACAAAAGTAAAGTTAAAAGGGATTGAGGCAATAACGAGAATCACAAATGATATTGAACAGTAAAATCAGGTGGTTTAGAGCGAAATACATATATCCTTTGGGGGGGGGGCAGGAAGAGAGGATAATGAGATTTTTAGAATAAGTTAACAAAGTGTTAGAAGAGCATCTTTCGGTTTACAACACTAAATCTAAATATCTATTCACAATTTAATCTTTTTTTTAAATTTTAATCGCAAGTTTATTTCATAATTATACATTTCGTCTTTTTTTTTTTAAAGCACAACAAATTGACTGCACAGCTTAGGACAAAATAAGACACGTCTAATAACTTACTTAAAATTTGTTCTTTGTTATACTATTATTCAAATAAAGTTATTCCTGAACAAGAACGTCTGGTAAAATAAATACATGTTTGTTTCTCAAAGATTGGTTTATCAAGTAACGTACAATGTAAATGAAACATCTCACTGAACATTTTTATGGTATGTAGTTCATTTATAATGTAGTGTGATATCCACCGAATTTAAATAGGCAAAATGTCTGTATAAGTCGAACCCAAAGAATCAGTGGCTGGTAAATCCAATAAAATTAGTTTGGTTTATTTTGAATTTCGTGCAAAACTACTCGAAGGCTATCTGCGCTAGCTGTCCCTAATTTAGGAGTGATAGACAAGAGAGAATGTAGCTAGTCAACACCACCCACCGCCAGGTCTTGGACTACTCTTTTACCGTCATATTATAACGTTTCTACGGCTGAAAGGGCGAGTATATTCGGTGACGGGGTTCGTGGGTCGAGCGCCCTAACCATCAGACCATGACAGAAAGAGTCACGGTAAACAATTGTCTCTATGTTCTGCTTTTATTCATAAAAATGACATTAAGTATTGATTCATTAAGCGGTTATAGTATATTTTAATGTGATTCTATAAAGTAGGAAAATAGACAACACTGAAAGTTTCAAATAATATGAACATAAACATTAGATATTCACAGCTTTTTCAGTACTTACAGTTCGAACGTAAAATAAGAAGAATCAGTATTTATATATTGAGTTGCTTTTATAACATTGAAAGAAGAACAACGTGGAAAGTGAGACGGTACCAAGAAAACGCGTGTTTACACTCTACGAAAGGCTTAGGAAGTCAGCTTTTGCTGAATAAACTTAAAGCCTGCATCAGACCCATGCACGTGCTCTTCCTCATGATGGCTGCATTCGAAGAAGTGTGTTACCAGAAATGTCCCTAGTCCAAAAATCAGTCTACAGCATTTGAGTGTATATAAAAACATGACTGAATGCCCCGTGCTCAGAGTATCCTGAAAAATTTATGAAATGAATGCGAGTCTTGAAACTTGCAAATTTTCAAGCTTTCACTATTCAAATTCTGTTGACAATGTATGCATAAACATTAAAAAACCCTATTAGTAGTTCGTGTCTACAGATATAGACAAGTTCAATAAAAGGCAGAAAATACTCTCTCATGAATTTATAATCATGGAATGTCCTTTCTATAAAACAAAACATATCTATATGTGCTTAATTCAACGTGTTATACGTGCGAATATGCGTATGCTGCAACATGCATATAAACCATTGCAGAATTTACTTGTAAGTAGAATTTCGTGCAAATATATCTGCGCTAGCCGTCCCTAATTTAGCAGTGTAAGACTAGAAGGAAGGCAGCTAGTCATCACTACCCACTGCCAATTCTTAGGCTACTCTTTACCAACGAATAGTGGGATTGACTGTCACATTAAAAGGCCCCCCAAAGATGAAGAGGGAGCATGTTCGATGATGGGTTTCAATCCTTCGTGCTGTAGATTGCGAGTCGAACGCTCTAACATTAGAAACAGAGAAATATCGATAGTGTTCTGGGCCAAGCGCGGAACTTTGACTGTGAATTCGTGGGTTCAATGTTCGCGGCCCATTGTCATAAAAATACGCTCCGTCTTTTGGGGTTGTAGGTGCGCTTTAAGTATGAAATTTTAATTCCACTATTCGGTCAGACAAGAGTAGTCTAAGAGTTTACAGTAGATGCTGTTGAGTGGCTGCCTCTCCTCTAGTTCATCAACTTAAAATTAGGGAGTGCTGTGTGCAAATAGTATTTTGTATAGCTTTGCGAGAAAATTCTGAAACAAAGACCCCCGAGCACCTTTTAGTTCAAATACGCGTCTTTATTGCCCACGAGGACATACGTTTTTTCCAGAACTAACATTGTCCAATGTGGTTCTGAGCAAAATAGGGCTACACTAGAAGCATGAATGCCCAACATTGTTTAGTAGCATTTGAGACAAATTGTAGTAATTTTATCAAAATGAAAGTTCACATAAAAATCTAAATTTATCCTGTGGCTATCTACTTAGTCTCTGGTTAGACTTATTAAGTAGATCACGTAGAGACTGAAATTGGAGAGCATCTAAAAAGAGAGATAGGAGATACTTAGCATACATAATGAAATATTAACCACGAGTGATGTTGTCATTGGAATTTAGTCCAAATAATACTTTACGGCAAATGTAATAAGGATAATAGAAAAAAATCTTACATTACATACAGGAGGAACGAATCCTTGAGGCACTACGTCATGCTATGTTTCATGTTTTCTCACATAAAGCGCCTATACATCACCAATACTAATTTCTCACTTAAAATCATTAATAAAAATAGAAAACAGAAAAAGTAAATTACATATTGACAAATTTATTGATAAACAAAGTCAAACGGGATAAAATAAAAATAAAGATATGGAGAACAGTTAATATTTTGATCATTTTCTGCTCAATAGTTCTTAGAAAATACTCTACAATTTGATTTGTTTGTTTGTAATTAAGCACAAAGCTACACAATGGGCTATCTGTGCTCTGCCCACCACGGGTATCGAAACCCGGTTTCTAGGGTTGTAAGTTCGCAGACATACCACTGTGCCACTGGGGGGCACCATTTGATAACTTATGAAAAATGCGCTCCCTACTAGCAGGAAAATATTTTTTTGAAACTGAATTAACTGAACACTAACAATTTAAACTACCAGACTACAGTAATGAATTCGAATCAAAATTATGTACATTAACTGAATGATTTGAAGGATTAGATTACAGTCTAGTGTCGTGTGTAATTTCGTTCAATATTTTTTGTAGATTTACAAATCTATATATTTTTGTAAACCTTATTATATGTTAAATTAGAAAATTGATGCTGCATTTGTTTTGATACTTAAATGGCGGCCATTTTGGATTTCAAAATTACCATCAGTTTTGAGAGTTTAGAAATGGACAGTCTGTTATGTATCATCAACTACCTTTAAACATCAATATATAGATGTATAGTATTTTTATTCCAAACATCCACAGGATTCGTTAATAACCGTGTAACATGTCGTCATCATTATCATTGCTATCGTCATCTGGATCGCGATTTTCGACGTAAGAGTCGTCATCGTTCTCGCAACGTGTGATGCACAAGCAGTGATCGGTACACGGTAAGTCCATGGACTTGCATAAACATCTCTGTTATGAACTCTGTTCTGGGTATCTGTTTTAAGGATATGCTGTTTAAGGGCGCGCGCCAAGAGTAGGTGGTAGTTTGTCACTCTCAACCATATATTTGCATAAAATACGCATTCTCAGTACCACATATACAAATATAACCAAAGTGGAAATTTGATCATTGTTTTCTAATGAAAGCATGAACGGCGGCAGGCAGTGCCTTTTCTGCACCTAGAGCTGTCCAAAGTGGTTGTATCTGAAGAACAGATGTTGTCATCGAGTGGATGTGTTTTTTTAGCAGGAGATGGTGTTTGCGTATTTTTGAATTTCGCGCAAAGCTACACGAGGACTATCTGCGCTAGCCGTTCCTAAGTTAGCAGTGTAAGACTAGAGGGAAGGCAGCTAGTCATGACCACCCACCGCCAACTATTTTGCTCCTCTTTTACCAACGAATAGTGGGATTGACCGTCACTTTATAACGCCCCCGCGGCTGAAAGGGCGAGCATGTTTGGTGTGAGAGGGTTTCGAACTCGCGACTCTCAGATTGCGAGTCGAGTGCCTTAACCACCTGGCCATGCCGGGCCTAAGAGATGGTGATTGGCTATGACCAGCATGAGAATATCTATGTCTTGGGTGACGAATGTTAAATATGCATTGCTTGAGCTCCGCTGTGTTGCAAATACTTTATGAAAGATCATTAAGTGTCAGCTTTCTCACGGTTGTTTTCTTCAGAGCACAAACTGCGGCTACTCCTAGTATGATCGGATACAATTACTTGTTTGGAGGAATCTTCATTGTAGGTCAGAACTTCCTCTGCTAGATATTCTGTTAAATCAGCCTTTATTTGATCATGAGGCAGGAATTGCTTCGTAGTGATGTGCTTATATAGATGTATAGTATTTTTATTCTAAACATCCACAGGATTCATCAATAATTGTGTAACATGTCGTCATCATTATCGTTGCTATCGTAATCTGGTTCGCGATTTTCGACGTAAGAGTCGTCATCGTTCTTGCAATGTGTGATGCACAGGCAGTGATCGGTACACGGTAAGTCCATGGACTTGCATAAACATCTCTGTTATGAACACCTGAGAAAGGTCATGTTGCTCTTTCACCTCATTTTCTGATTTGATATTGGATTGGATCTTTTTCATGATGTCGTTTTTCTGTCCTGTAATTATAATAAAAAAGAAAAACAATATCATCATAATTTCTCGTTAAAGTCAACACTCTAACACTTCGTCAAATCCTTGACTGTCTATACTGTCGTTGATGTTTTTGCCGGATTCTGAACAAGCATCATTCCATCAGCTACTGTGGTTTATATTTTTCTGAGTGCACATCATGGACACTGCATCTGAATTATCCTCACTGGTACTCATACTTGGCAATGACTCGGATGTTTCTGTTTTTGCAGCCTTCTCAATGAATTGTTAGTTCATTGTATCAGTGAACCATTTAATACAGTTATTTCGGTGTCAGATTAAACTCATAATCGAAAATTAAATTTTTCTGGTCACTATCTCGGCTTGGCTGGCAAGAACCAAAATCCACCCAAACATGTTCTTATTTTCTTTGACATTTATCATCTTGTCTCTAATCTCGACTGTTTGCTTCTTGTTGCTGTACATGTACATATTGTTACTCTTTTTTTTCTTCAATGATGCCCATACACTGACATCTCCGTTTAGCTGCTGTGATACAAAGTCTTTAATCAGCTTCTGTACAGTGTCATCAATATCCAGGATCTATGATATATACTCTTTGGTTACATAGACATGTGTTATAAGGTTGTGGAGCATATCACCTTCAACAGTAAATGGATTCTCGTAACTCACTATGACAGTCTTGATTTTGTAGACTTCAATCTGGTTCCATTTGATAACACCTGAGAAAGGTCATGTTGCTCTTTCACCTCATTTTCTTTTAGATTAAACAGACTCTTGAACTCATCAGATATTCGTGACATTGGGATACCAATCAGACTAGAGTGAGCTTTCATTAGCTTGTTCAAGTATCCTCAAGCATGATCCGCTCCGACGGAAACGAATGGGATGTCATTCTTGGTGACACATACGTTTCCTGCTTCAAGTTATCTCCAGCTTAATGGATGATTGATTCTGAGGGCATACATGACATGTAACGTGGACATAGCCACTTATATTTGATCCGGTTCATTACAAAAAATATCTTGCTAAGTACTTCTTCAGCTGCAAGGTGAAGTTTTGGTCTGCACTCTGTGTGAGTGCTTTGCTTGGATAATTCATGAGGAAATTGAACATGGCATTCTTGGATCTTGTGTCTCAGTTCCGAAACCTTCTTCTACATATTCTCATGAGTCAAAGCTTGAACCAGATGGTTGTGTGCATGTTTCACCGATTGGGCTTTTCTGTGCTTATTCTCGTCAGTTACTAGTTCAGTTGTTGCTTTCAAATGTAGATTCTCTTTGAAGAACTCATCTAAGACCATTTCACAGAAAACTACGTACGTGTATAAGTAGGCACAAAAATAGCGTTTATAATGTGTGCATTTAATACGGAACTTGTCTTCACATAATTTTTAGACTGATGCGCTACATTAAACAGATATAAAAGAAAGAAAAGTAAAAAACAACCTTCTGAAATAGTAGCGCTAATAAAGCTTAATCTTGGATTATTCAAGAAAAAAATATTATTTTTATATGTAACTCAATATCTTGTCATTTTGAGCTTATTGTAAGAGATACTACTGAATTCTTTATTTGTAATATTGTAAGAATAGACACTCAGCCCTGAGTGAAGTTGATATATTGAGAAATCGGTGCTCTTACTAACGGCCATTTTGAAATTCAAAATCCAAGATGGCCACCATTTAGGCATCGGAGAAAATGTAACATTGATTTTCATACGCAGTAAATCATAAGGTTTCTGGGACTATATGGTTCGGCAAATCTCCAAAATTTTGAACAAACATAAAAATTTGTACATAGTGATTTACATCATTAGTAGGAAGTTTGATTTAGGAGGACATACCTTGGATCAATAACTGCAGCCTTGTTTCATCCTCTCCGTAATCATTCTTAGCTGAGCAGGTGTATATACCCGAATCCTCTCTGATAGTGTCTATAATCGTCAGAGTTGATTTCTGTGCTATATTCTGGCTCTCCGACGTCTCTATTCTTCAAACAACAACGAAGATACATTTCTCAGTAGTATAGGGTTAAAGAATTAACCCTACAGCTATGTGAAGCCTTATGTCTAGATGTCTTTTTTCGTTTTTGTGAATGTAATAGCATTAGTAACACCTGTTTTGCTCAAAAATATTTTATTTATTTTTTTATTCCCTGGAGCAAGTTTAACCTTATAATGAACACATTTCTCTGGTGTATTTCATTTGTGATTTAACGTTATAAATAGAAGCAAATTTAAAGCAAAAATACACTCAGTTAAATTTTGGGATCTTGTCCGTTTGGTGCCACCCAACAGTAATAAGTGTCAATGCAAAACTCATCGCCAAATGCTTGACTCTTATTTTTGTGAATTTATATGGAGAAGTAGAAACAAAGATGGAGATTTCTTCAGAACAATATTGTTTAATATCGCAGAATTCGCTAAATAAATATCATATAATGTTTTTTTATTAATTATTTTATTTTATAGCATTACTGGTGTTATTTTCAAAACGATCTGTTGGAGGGCACCAAACGGAAAATACCCAAATGTTCTTTAAATTTATAATCAATTGTAAAATACTAGTTCTTTATAAAAACTACCGCATTTTAAAGGATCTAATTCATATTGTATTATTTAATTTTTTGCCTACCGATGCCTTCCTTCGTTTGGCGATTAGCAAGTAATATGCTTAAAGTCTCACTCTGAGATAATGGGAAAAAATGGAAAATATTATGAAAACCTCTAACGTAAAATATGTGAACCAAGACAATGAGATTGAAAAGCATCGGAAAATAAAATTAATAATCGTGTTTTAATTTCTAGCAATAAGAATGATAAGTCAATTCATAGCAATATCAACGTAATGTGTTTTTTTACTTAGTTTTATTTTCTGAAATGATTAAATTTTATTTCAGCAACTTCTATTTCAACAAATCCTTTCAGTTCAGTTAATAAACACGACTGTCAGACGAGATACGCGGACATTTCCATTACGAATTCGGTGAAGGATAAAATGTCAGCTTTTAAGGTGATAATTTGGTTATCAAGTAGTAACTAGATTATCCGTGAGGTCTTTTGAAATATCGTTCACTGAAGGCACCTCTTCCCCGCTCCAGCAAAAATCTCATTTTCGTAACACTCAGAATTTCAAACTTCTCTGTATCACGAAGATTAAAATGTTGGGACCACAAAAGATAGCGAATGATGTCTAAGAAGAGTAAGTAGCTCGTGATTAAGTTGGAATAGAAACTTATAAAGCTCGAACTTATTTGAGACTGTTCTTTCATTAATTAGGTCTCAGTATTAATTTTGAAAATACTGCTGGCTGAAACTCATTAGTTGGGAAGAAAGCCTGCCAACAGTTAAGCTCAGATTATCTATTTTTTTTAGTAAAGTAATATATCAATGAAAAGGTCTTCAACTTACTCAACTTTACTTTTCTTAAAGTAGTATATATATATATATATATATATATATATGTATGTGTGTGTATGTATGTGTATGTCGTATATATGTATGTGTGTGTATGTATATATAT